CTTTTTACAATAAGACATCCTGCTTCAACACCTCCAAATAGAATGAAAGCTCTTTCATCATCGCCCGACCGTCGCCCGAGTAAGTCCTCCAGTAGTTAGACATGTAAATGTTTATTTATTCATGAGATTTGACGTGTAGATTCGTTGACATGTATGAATTAACATTACTAATTTAGGGCACTTAAAATGGTTGAATGTTTTTTTAAACTTTTGTTTACCTTGCACTAAATTGTAAACTTTGTTATTTGTAAACTTTGTATTTGTTTAATTACGAACAAGTGAAAGAGGATTGACACATTTCAAATAAGAATGCATTAGATTTGCATCCGTTTTCATCAAGCTGTTTTTAGATGTGTATTATCTTTTGGATTTACTTCCGTTATCAAAGCAGACCCACAAGCAGCTACAGAATTGTCAAAAGTTGTAATTTCAATTAAATGCTTATTTTAAACACGACACCAGGGACTGATGTTGTTGTGTTTCTTTTACATAAATGTGGACGGTTTGTCAGATGTTCTGTCCCAAATAGGTCCATCCTGCTTAATTTACTGTTGGCAGGTGTGAACTTGTGGGTGAAAACGAGCTGAAAGCTTTAATGTTTACATGTTCATGCATGTAGCAGTTTGTGAAGGGGAGAAGTCCTTTAAAAATACTGTTTGGATATATATATATATATATAATATATGTGTGTGTATTGCATACATCCAATACATGCAAATCCTCTCCCATGAGTGAAGGGTTTGATACACAAGACCTGATCACAGACCCTCCTCTGTCTTTCGATCCCACGTTGCTCTCTGAAATGTGTAGACTTGTAGTAACACATCCACCTCAACAGAAATGTCTTCCTTGAGGTATTTCGAGGAATTTAAACATGCAAAGACTCCCCGTCTTTGCACTCCCACAACACCTTTTAATAAAAAGAACAAAGCAAGCTCAAAGAAAGCTCACTGCCTTTGTAATGGAAAGTAAAAACGGTCCTTTATAAACATGTTAACATGTATGTACTTGTTAAAGGAATATAAGGTTATACAAGAGGTTTCTAAATGCCTCAAAATCAGGGCATTTCCTTACTGCAACTTTCTTTTATTCATTTATTTGCAGTAATATGGAGCAAAACTTTTTTTTTTCACTTTCACATCCTATTTCAGACTTTTGGCTTTAAAATGTCTCTTGAGGCATCCTTTTAAAACCTTCCTCGCCTTTCTCTTAAGGCAAGTCAGGGCATTTTCATTTGTGTAGCACATTTCAGCAATAAATGTTTCTCATAAAACCATTAAAACATCAAACATAAAGCAGGGAGATTTAAAAACACTTAAAAACACTAATATTACCCATTAGCTGATATTATGCATGCTATTTTACGTTTGAATGAAGGAGCTTTAGACCAACGTTTTATTCATTGAATGTATTGTGATAACGATCAGGGGCAGTCAGGAGGGAGACGGATTTCAGGTTCGGTTCTTTTGACCTTTCACCTCCTGGCCGGGAAAAAAGAAAAGAGACCTGAGCCTCGTTCTGCTGTAGACCCCACGTAGCATTCTTTTTATGTTTTATTTAATTACTATGAAAAGGGCTATACAAGTATTATTATTATTTTTAATACAGTGCACATTCACCATTAATTAATAAATTAATATATAGAACAGCAGCTTCAGCAGTAATACCAGAATTCCAGTATGAGTGTGGGAAAAGACTCAGTGATGACTTATCAGTGTTTACATGCGAGATGATGGCCATAGTTTTTGCACTACAGTGGGTAGACGACGTCGGGCCTGAGAGAGTAGTTATAGCAGCAGACTCGTGCAGTGCTGACGAGTCTGAAGTTTTGCCACTCCAGAAGCAGACAAGATTTAATGGATAAAGCAGCAAAAAGGGCGCTGAAGAGTGGGAGAAATATAGTCAATATCAGTGTTGAGCAAGTTACTGAAAATTAGTAATTAGTTATAGTTACTAGTTACTTCTTTTAAAGGTAATTTAATTACTTTACCAGTTACTGTATATCAAACGTAATTAGTTACCAGGGAAAGTAACTTTTAAGTTACTTTTATGTCTTTTTTTTAATGTAATGAACAGTCAAACACAATGAACATATTTTTTAGACCTATTTATTGTAATCAACAGGGCAACAGGCTTTCAAACCAAGCAGTAGTACAAAAGTCCCTTTTAACAATCAATTTATTCAGCTCTGCCTGGCTTATCGGCTGTGCAGTCCGTGTAAAGTCTAGCCTTGGTTGTTCAGCATCCGTAGGGCTGGGCTCTTTCGCTACTAGCTTTGTCGAAGCGTGTTGTTTCAACAGGTGCTTCATAAGATTGGAATTGCTACTCTTAGATGTGGATAGGGTCTTTGCACCTGCACATAATTTACAACTCACCACTACATTTTTGTCTTTACTTTCGACGAGCGAAAAGTAATGTCCATACTTCCAGGAGAGAAAGCTCATTCTGTCCGCACTGTCGGCCATGATGTGGTCTAATGCTCATTGAGTGATTCGATTGGTGTATCATTGCGCCACCAAGGTCCTGCGATGGTCCAGAAGCTAAAGGGGTGATTAAGGGACAAATCAAAAAGATATGGCAGAATGAATGGAACAAAGAGAGCAAAGGAAGATATCTGTTTAAAAACAAACCATTGGTTGGGAGTGTAGGAGCTAGTGGATGAAAGAGAAAAGAGGAGAGGGGTAATGACAAGATTAAGAAATGGCCGTACTGGTCTTAACAGTTCCCTCTATGTGGTTGGGAAACATAGTAATGGAAGGTGCAAATATTGTCAAGAAGAGGAAACTGTGGACCATGTTTTGATGGCATTTCAGAGGTACGAGGCAGAGAGAGAAGTCCTGAGAAGGGGGCTAAGAGAGCTGGGAGAGGCAAATATAAGTGATGTACTGAAGAAGGGCTTCAGGGACAAGTGTTGGGAACTGCTTTTGGCATATTCAGAGAATACAAGACTAATGAATATAATTTGAGCGTTTTTCGTTTTGTTTTCGTTCGTAGTAGAGGTTTAATTTTCTTTAAATCCACACTCCAGATCAGTGGGTGGCAGCAATGCGCCCGAAAGCTGTTTGCCAACCGCCATAAAATGCAAAAGAAGAACAGACTCCGGAAAAGCGTGTAGCCACGAGTTCGCCACGTGTGGAAAGACAGCGGGAAATAACTGTAAGTTTATAAATATATTTGTTTACCTCGTCAATTTCATTTTTTTGTCCACCGTAACAATTGGGTGTCGGAGCCTGTTTTCGGCAAGTCTTGTGAAATGCTCGGCTGGTTTTCAAGTCTCCGAGATCTAACCGGGCGGGCGTGGGGGAAAATAACGAGGGCGTCAAGTGACACACAGGCGCGAATACACGATACACTCGATTTGACCACAAATGATCCCCCGAGAGTCCTGCGGCGTGTTCGGAGGTGCTTGAGGTTACGCGACACTTTCGCGACGTGTTCGGTGTTTACAATTTAAGGTTGCAACATGGCATGTGTTAATAGTGTATGGATGCATGTAACTGTAACTGTTTCCTGGTTCCTGGGCCGAGAGCACCACTTCCATATAAGGGCAGCGTTCCCGCCCTCTCGCATGTTGTGCCTGCATTAAACAATGCCTCGAGTTAAATGGCTGAAGAGATAAACGCCTGGACGTCCGTTCATCCTCTGGTATCATGGTTCCGCCGCGCAGGTCGGCCAAAGGAGTAAGCCTACCCATCAACAGCATGAAACGGCAAATAATCAAACTAGTGCATGAAGCTGTTGTAGCCTCCAGACTATTTTATTCATGTCGGTCAGTAGTCAGTCGCGCGCCAAATCGGACCGTCGCGCTGCCGGTCTTTTTTCTTTTTTTTTTTACATTCAAATATAAATTTTCACATTCGAATTGTTGTTCTATGTTCAAATATATATTCGAATATAGAATATTTGTTGACAGCCCAAATGCATTCAAGGATTACGTCTACCTGACGGGTTTGATCAGGCTCTCTTCCCCCAGTTGGAACAGGTGATCGGACAAATTGTCCGTCGCCCTTCAGGCCTGATAAATGCATTAGTTAAATGTGATTAACTAATTGTATTAAGTATTAAAGCCATGTTGTTAGACAGGTATAATGAAGCAGAGCTTATCAAAGGTGGTTTCAGCTGCTCTCAGGTGCCTGAATCACCAGGATGAAATGCACAGGTGAGCTTCCACCCAGAAGCCCCTTAAAATATCACCAAAGTAGTTTTGGGGGAAAAAAGGTAAAACGCTCTTTAAAATTACCTCATTTTAGGAGGAAAGACCTTAAAAAACATTCCAAACAGAGAGTGAGACGTATTACATAAATACTCTCACTCAACCGCTTACCAGTTGATGTCAGTTGAGTCCTTGAGGGTTCAGGGTTCAGGGGGCAGATTGGGCCTTAGTGTTGTCTGTGATGACACACATCAGGTCCACCTCTGAAGCAGTGCATCCACACTGTGACTTAACACCTGTTGATTTCATGTTGTTTGGAAGTCTGAAATTTAACTGCAGTTTATAATTATTTTATTTGACTGCGTGAAACATCTTCAGGAAACCAGCTTTACTTGGTGATTGTAGTTCTCAGGGAGGTCGTCATTAGCATCAAAGCTTTGTGTGTTTGCAACAACCATGATGAGAAACACACAAGAGCACCATGATGTAAAGACACTGTTGTGTTTTCTGTGGAGTTGTACAGTCACTGAGGGAGATGTGTGTGGGGGTGGGGGGCAGAGTTCAATAGAGTGACAGCCGCAGGGATGAAGCTGTTCCTGAATCTGCTGGTCTGGGAACGGAGCACCCTGTAGCGCCTCCCAGAGGGGAGGAGGGCAAACAGTCTGTGGCCGGGGTGAGAGCTGTCCTTTTCGATGCTGCGTGCCCTCCGCAGACATCTCTTGTTCTGGACAGCCTCAATGGTGGGGAGTGAGGAACCGGTGATTTGAGCCTCTTCTCCTCTGTCTCCTCTCACAGGGAGGAGATGATCTGCAGGATCCTGGTGATCTTCATCCTGACCTCCTGTGTCTGTGGTGAGTTCAGTTTGTGTTTGTGAAGCATCAGCACACACTCCTTGAGAAACATCTGGAGATGGAGTCGAAGGGCTCCATGAAGCTTTGTCACCTCCTTCTCTGTCTCCTCAGCAGGGTCATTTGTAGTGAATGTGACACAGAGCTGGTATCATGCAGAGGAGAACCACAACATCTCACTGGAATGGATGTTCCCCACCAGCACGGACCACTCCCCCAACTCCCTTGATATCGGCTGTGAGATGTTAAATTCTGATAGACCTTCAGTCCTGTTTCATCTATATGAAGGTGTCGAGGTCCCAGAGTTTCAGGATAAACGCTTTGCAGGACGAGTCCAGTGGGACAAAGACGTCCTCAGAGAAGGACGACTCAGGTTTCACATCTCCAGACTCCAGACTAATGACGCGGGCCGATACTCATGTTCTGTGTTCACAAGTTATGGGAGGAACTATAAGGAATGTCTACTCAATGTCACTGGTAGGTTCATTAAGTTAAACTTACTAACATGTTTAATTCAGCAGCTTTATGCAGATAAATAAACCTTTTTCTTTACATTAATTAAACAATTTGTTGGGTCTCTTTGCAGCAGTGAAGGATCGGTCCGAACCTGATACGAGTCTGAGAGGAGATCATCTGAGAAGGATCAGCCTCTACTGCGCACTGGGACTAGCAGCAGCAGCTCTACTTGTCATTTCTTTTTCTTTTTATTCTCTGCGTTGCCAAAAAGATTAGTGACTCAGGAAGCCCAGCTGGTGAACGCTGTGAATTAGTTTAGTTTCATCAGGACCAAACTGATTCACCTTCTGGTACTTCTGACATCAGAATGTGAATGTAAGTCGGTTTCATCCCAGGCCCTGCTGACCTGCGTCTTAATGTGCCCTTAACTCAGCATTGCTCCTGTTTCTGTGACCACAGAGAGTGAATATTAGTTACTGACGGACATGAAGCTTTATCAGTGTGAAAGTGGGTCAATGAGGACATGACTTAAACGCACCTCTACGTCCTACTGGACTAAGTAGCACTTTATTATCACTTGTGATGGCGTTTACTACTTATAGCACTTTTTACAGATTCCTCATTATTGGTGCTCTGGTTCTGTTCCCTCTTGATTGAATGAACTTACTGTAAGTCACTTTGGATAAAATCATCAGCTAGATGATAACTGCAAAGCACTTTGAGGAGTCAGGAGACTAGTAAGGCGATTTACAAGTACCCTTTACATTTACCATTTATACATCTACCATTTCTAACTGTATAAAAAATCTAAACTTTTGACAATTGTGTAGCTGCTTGTGGGTCTGCTTTGATAACAGAAATTAGTGGATGTGGTTTTATTAAGGCGGGACAACTTTATGGTCATTTATAGTGAGACTTGAACAACAACATAAATGAATATAATTCAAAAAGATAACACACATCAAAAAATAGCTTGAAATGAAAATCTGCAATAAAAGTATTTTTCTTTGGAACACAGCCAAAGAGTTCTTTAGTTTAACCAATTCAGGATTTAAGTGTGACAGATGAAGACTTGGAGGTAATAACCTACATCATTATTTTTTTAATTGTCATGTAGTGCATTGTGATCAACAAATAATCCCTCTTCATTAGAGATGTTTGTTTCTTAAATATATAACAAGATGTATACAACAATGGTTGCAAATGAACCTTAATCATATGAAATAAACAGCATTAAATACATCTGTGCCGTCTTTGATTTAAAACAAATGAGAAAACGGTGGTATTTGTTTTATGGTTTTTAAGGTAAAACGGACTATCAAAGGTACACGGACCGTACTGTTAGATGGGTTGAATTAACATGTCGTGGAAAATCATCTGCCAACAAAAGCTCTAAAACCAAAGTAAGGCTTTATGAACCTGGATACATTCCATGAATAATGGGAGGCTGTGATAGTTGATGCTAGACAGAATATTTATTTTGTATTCAACAAAGCTGACGGAGCTGACAGGCTGGATACAAAAAAACATTAATATAACATCTGCAAATTGACAATTAAAAAGAGGTGTAAAGGGCAACTTGTGAGTAAAAACGTGACAGAAATAAAGACAACCACCCTGGCAGAATGAGGAAGTATGTGGTAGCATTTATTAAAGGTTTAATTACTGTACATGACAAGAACATGAAAAAAGCCCTACAGTCAATCTACAAAACCAACACGCCCGCCGCCTGTCGTGCAGGTTCACATTTCTGTGTAATGTAGCCATCTTTACAGTACATATTAATGAAGTATGTCCGTCACGACCTCTGATGAACATTCACACCAGTGATGTCACACCTAGAATAAAACAGAAGAGGTCAACATGATGAACACTAATATCACATCACCATCATTGTTGTTTTAAATGTATGTTTAAGGAGTTGATGTCGCTCCTCACGAGAAGTTGACAATCTCAACCATTAACATGTAAAAACTGTAAAAGTCCCCGATCATGTGTACAATCACATAGAGTTAAAGAAGATTATTCTCTAATGGAGAGTAGTATTATGTGGCTGACGGCATCCTCCTCGACGGACACTCACCCCGGGAGTACTTGCACTGCTTGAGCGCCTCGTTGAAGCCCTCACATAAAGTCAGGTCCGTCTGGTTGGTGGCACAGTCTAGGAACTGTTTGACCTCATAGTGACACGGGCCTGGCTGGCCCGGGGCCGACCGGAGGGGCTCCTGGGATTGGACAAGCAGAGAAAGAACTTACATCATGCGTCGCAACTGTGGAGCTGCTGCTGCATATCAGGGTCTTCAAATATTCATTACGCGCGTGGCCAAAGTTAACCCAAACTAAACATCTAAAAAAAAAATCAAATGTTTTGTGCAAGACCTCCCAATAAGGAGAGAGCGGACGTGTTCAAGTGCAGCTCGGTTCAGTTATCCAGCCGTCTTAAACCTGCCTGCTTGTGCTCCACCTCTTACCTGGTACGTGGGCTTTGCCGGCTCCGCGTTGCTGCTTCCACCACCGGATCCCGAAAGGGCGCTGACCAGGAGGTGGCCCGCAGCCGAGCCCGCTGCCACCCCGGCAGCTGTGGTCGCCATCTGGGCCATCAGGCCCGGACCCTGGGCCGGAGCCGGAGCCATCGCAGCAGGAGGTGGATGAGCGGGGGCCGGGGCATGGGAAATAGCCGGGCTACAAATGCATCAATTTATTATGCGTTTGACATTAACAGGTTATTGGGAAACATTTATGTCCATTGAAATGCATCGGAGTCAAAGTTTCAAACTTAGGCATAAATTATGCTTTTATACACACCACTACAATGGTGGAAATAAGGCAAATGTGTATAACATGGGCACCTGACATTTAACTGATAAACTAGTGTCATTTGGTCTCGGAGTTAAAAGTCACATTTCTGTTCCATTAAACACCCCAAACTGTCAAGTGTTTGGCCATTACGTCATCTCCATACATATCTGAGTGAGTTATGACACTTTAAAATCGAGTAACTAGCCGGACATCAAACTGTTTAGGCCACGCTGTCGATTTGGTATCTGCAGTAACTGAACACCACACAAAGAGTCCGTTTTTGCAACTATTCTAGACGCATATGTCTTACCTGGCTGGAGCGGCGTGGTGGCTGCGGCTTCCTCGGGCCATCTCTCTGAGGTCAACTCAAACTTTAGTGACGACCTGGACTGAAGAACAGGATCTGCCCTTCGTTGCTTCTAGAAAAGGTGCCTTTTCGTAACGGACTGCTGCTCCGGGTCAGCTGACAGCAGCTGCGCGCGTGCACAACACGCGCCGCTGACCTTGTGCGGTTTCGCTCAAGGGTTCGACGCCGCCGGCTGCGTGCACACGCGTCGTTAGGGCTTAAAACACGGATTCCCACAATGCATTTGCTTCCGCTGTGTGTTGAGCACCGCAGCCGTCGTGGCCACACCTCCACCTGCTGGACTGGAGGGCGCGTGGCGCATGTTGGGATCCGCGGGGGTCGACGCCCTTTTTTAAATGCACTCCTTTTGGAGAAAAAAAAGGGTCATTGAATCTATTGAAGCTAAACATGTTGGAATGTAAATGAGCACATTTATTTAAGTATGCTTCTGTCTACCAGTGGTTGCTTGATTATTTCTATTTTACGCCACTTTGTACTGCACTACATCTCATTAGGATTATTTATAGCAAATACGAATGAACTAATAAAGTATTATTATACAAAAAAATCTCAAATTAAAATGAATTATATTGCACATTCTCTTTTAGAAAAATACAAAAGACTATTTTATTTTATTTTCCATCATTTCAAGTAATCTCGTGTTTGTCTGTCATCATCTATATGCCTATAGTTGCATTCTGTGGAAATTGCCGAGAGGGGGCGATATTGCTCCATAAGACGAAGTATTTCACACAGTAGCAATCAAAAGGCCTGCGACACACGTTTACTCAGTAAGAGAAACAAGCAGAAGGTCACACAACAGCACCATCCTCATTCCTGTTCCTCATCAGCTCTTCTGCTTTCAATTTAACTCATTCCTTAATGCTTTAATGTTTTTATTTGTTTTGAAAGAAAACTAGTCATTCAGTGCAGCAAAAAAATTACACCCAAATATGTTCTCTCTCTCTGTGTTTCTCTCTCTCTGGTTTTCTCTCTCTCTCTCTCTCTCTCTCTGTTTTTCTCTCTCTCTCTCTCTCTTTCTCTTGAAGAAGTCGGTCTTCCTGCTTTGAGTTCCCAGAGTTCCCGGCTGCTGGCAGCAGAATGCTGGGAATATCCGGAGAGGAAGTGGAAGTGACATCACAGCGTTGACCTTCCGTACCAAGCCATATCACCTGGCGCTGGCTGTAGGAGAGCTACCAAACACAATCACATACACGCACGCACACGCACACACTAACACACACACACACACACACGCACGCACACACACAGGAACAACAATAGGCAGAAACACATACTTCTCTCTTTCTCAGCACAAACACATTCACAAACAGTATTGACACACTTCAATTTTCTCTCTAGGAGAAGAGAAAGGGCGAGAGAGGAGAAATTCCCACGAAGAAAGAGAGGAAGCGATAATAAAAGTGCAGAGGCCGCTGCATATAGCGCCTGGTTTGACCACGCGCTTGAAAATCCCCACCACGCTCCAGACGGTTCCTCCTCATCAGCTCCGTCTGACTTTCTACTTATTTACCAGCTTCTGCTGGACGAATGTTGACCAGCACTTCAAAGTGTGTATTCAGCCGACCCCACGGTGCTGCAATGTTCTATCTGGATGAATGTTTTGCACCAAGTACATTTACTGAAGCTTTGGTACAGTTCGAAGGCCCAGTTTGTCACATGTCAGAGTTGTCAGCAGTTCCCCCCCCCAAAGGGATTTCCACCCTTAACTTCTTCATTTGAATAAATGCTTGAGTCAAGTCATCCCTCATTCTACATTAAAAGCAAAGGCCATAAAAAGCTATTTTTGTCCAACCACGGGATTCATCCCACGGATGCTTCATGGTATCATCTGTCCGGCCTACAAGCAGAGAGGAACCAGACACGCCGAACAACGTAAAACACGCAGGTTGCACACAGATGGGAGATTAGGGACCAGAGTGGCGACATTTGCTGAGTTTAGAGGGCGTCTCAGAGGTTATATTCTTCAGGAGCAAAGGCTGGAAAACACATAAATAAAACCCGTGCACAAAACATACGCACACATGCACACCGCAGGTACTATGCAGGGGGACCATGGTGGACAGAAAAAGACAGGGAAGTCTTCATGGGAGGTGTGGACAAAAGAAGAGAGATGGGGGGAGGAGGATGGGGGGAGTAAATAGATGCCAGGAAAGAAAGGGAGAAAGAAAGAACATGCAGAAGCCAAATCAGGCAGAGCGGGGGGGGGGGGGAGTAGTGATGGGGGGGAAAAAGGAGGATGGGAGGATGGGAGGGAAAGGGAGAGACAGCGTGTGTGTGGTGGCGACGTCCTTATGCATGATGACAAAAGAAGAAGGGATTCTCTGGTCAGCTGCTGCTGCTGCCACTGTCTATTGTCCTGTCGACGGAGGAACCCCCTCCACACACACACACACACACACACACACACACTTTACTCTCTCTCTGTCTCTCCTCTTGTGTCGGACATCACTTTCTTTCCCTCTTCAAGTTCAACTCTGATTACACGGGCGACCAACTGGGCGCCCCCGACATATAAAGATCCCGCTCGGCCCCCTCCCCTGAAGCCCAGCTGTGTCATCTGGGTGTTTTTTCAGTAAGTCTGAGATCCCACAGATGTTCCCAAATGCCCAATCCAGAAACATTTCCTCAAAGTTTATGCGTGGAAAGAAAAAACGAAACCGATAAGAAGTAAGATTGCTCCGTTGAAAAGTAATCAAGTGAAAGTAGGTTGTAAAGTCTATATCATATAGAATGTATCCTGTTCGCCTCAGACTACATCCACATTCTACCATCTCTTGGCCTCCAGTGCTGCTGTGCTTTCTCATAAAGGAACTATTTGGGAAACAAGATGCATATACAATTTAAATGGCATATTCTTGTTACAAGATGCAAATAATAAGGAATTATTAAAAACAAGGTCATAAATCACACCAAACCTAAAGGCCTAATGGTAATGTTGGATATTAATGCAATTCTCACGATTAGTAAAAGAGTTACGAGACAACTTACATGAGCCTTTACCAGCCCCTTTACTACCTGCAAGTCATCTGTTTTAATAAATGCAATATTGTTCATCTATAAAACATAAATCAGTGATTCATTTTCTACTAATGAAGCTGTGCTTTGCAACATACAAACCCTTTGCAATCAATGTCTTACTTGTAAGTAGCGGTCATGCAAACTTTACTTTAGCAAATGCAGCTTCTGATTTACAAAAGTCCATGAAAAAGCTTCTCAATTAAACGAACAAGAGTGCTTGTAATTAGTGGTTTTCCACCCACGGAGACGTTTTATTATAATAAAGAGGGATGTTTTATGAGAAGAAGCAATAAATTCAGCCAATAAATAGAAGCGGGTGTGAATGACGCTCCTTTCTTCCCTTTGTGAGGGAGCCGTGTATGTATTCGCCTCACGTAGTCGCCAAAGGTGCCGAGCTCTGCATTATCATCTATCCACCTCGCGCTCTGCACCGCTCCTCATGTAGAGTAAGAATATTAAAGTGTGTTTGTGTTCATGTGAAGTCAGTGTGAGTTCATAGACGCTTACAGGTCCTTTTATGTGTGTGTGTGTCTGTGTGTGTGTGTGTCTTCGTTTCTGCTTTCAAATCAATCCGCAGCAAATGACCCTTGACCAACTGACCTCAAGAATATTCAATCGTCCACTGTCTCCGCACAGTGTGTGACTCTCTGGTCCATTCTGCTCTGATTGACCTCTCACTGACACACGCACACATACGCACTCGCCGACAGACACAATAGGAGACCCGGCACATTCCTTTCCCCAGGTGGCATGAAGGACACAGCCGGATCAATGGCCTAATGGGCTCCAAACCAATGGCCGACGATCATTAACCCCCGGCGAGTGTCCCCAGCCAGACTATTGTGCGATCACTGTGTGTGCGTATGCAGACTATTGTGCGAAGGGGTTTTTTCTGCCGTGTGTAGCTGGTTAACTGCTGGATGAGGGGTCTAAGTTAGGGCATTAGATGGTGACGACATGTGTTGTATTGACCTGAAAAAACGGAGCTGGACATTAACATGCGCTGAACAAGGTGTCCCACAAAGAATCGATGGACAGACAGTGATGGATTTTAACACAGTGGATTTACCGAAGTCGTCCTGTGCAATTTGGAGGCCATCGTAGTTTATTTCAGTACTTATAACATATCTTGTTACTTTATACTTAAAATATTGTTGTATTTAATTTATTTAACAGCAAACTATTTCTCAAGTTTCACCACGTTAAAAATAATAATGTACGAATCTCTAATGATAATCCAGTGATACAAAAGTATAACACTCGTTTTTGATGCTCTTACTTAACTAATATTTTGAATACAGGGCTGTTACTTAAATTTGATATCTTAATGTTATGGTGTCATTACTTTTAACTTTAAACATAGAGGAGGTCAAAGCCATTTATCGCTCACACATATGGCTATTGCAATCTACAACGCCGTTTCTGCATCACAGTCACACTGAATAAGACAATCATCACAAGTTTATTTCAAACCTCGAATCCCCTCCCCTCTTTATCACTTTATCCCAAACAGCTCTCAGCGTTAACAGAAGCTCCGTCCCTCTTTCTCCTCCAGGCCTCCACTCCAATCCCACTGTCGATGCAGCACCGTGTGTGTGTGTTTATATGTGTGTGTGTGTGTGTGTGTGTGCGTGTGGAGGGCTGGTGGTGGGAGGACAATGGGCAGAAAGGGGGCTGGCTGAATGGGACCATTGAGTCTGCTCAGCCAAACAGAAAAGCATCTTCCATCTCACTTCAGAACCCACAGTTTCACTCTGTACAACCGGGCCTTTATCCTCCGTAATTACTCCCTGACACACATGTGTACGCACATGCCTGCACACACACACACATATGCATGTATGCATATTTATGAATATATAAATGACTGATTGTGGGCGCGGATCACAAAAATAACAACACAGGCCGGCTGACTTTTGACAGTCTAAAATTGTGTTGTGGTAGTTTAGTTATTGAGCATTTACAACTCAATATTTTATCACAATAACCTGAACCTTATTTCTAATATCCAGAATGTTTTGATGTTGTAACAAATGACATAGCTGCTGTGTTCATATGTACGGGATGACTCAACGGAGAACGGCAAGTATTAGGTAAATCATATTCTAGAGAAGCACAAAGGGAGTTTGTCCTTTGTCATAAAGATATTGGAACAATGGTAAATACACATTTAT